CTTGCTCTGAACTCATCTGGTGTTCGGGGCATGATCTGGACACAAGTATGATTGCAACTTCGGGCGTCCATACCCGACAGGCCTTCTTGGGATACATCTACACCCGAAATTCAACTATGTTGCCTCAAGCCACCATGTCGCTTTGTTGGAGGCTACGGGCTGTTTCCAAATATGACATGAGCCAGTGCCTAAACTCCTAGTATCCCCCTTAATATCCCCTATAGTAGTCCCCTATATAATTCCCTATATAATGCCCTTTAAGGAGTTTAGACTATAGCTCATATGACATGCCTCATGTCTGGCTCTGCGCGCCTCCAAAACCCCCCTCTACAACGCGACAAGCATGGGCCCATGCGGAACAGCAAGGGTTTAGGATGTATAGGGTTTAGGGATATGGTCCCCCTTAAGTAGATAAAAAAATGGGTTTGGGTACATTAAAATGGGATCCCCATATACCCCACATTCTATCTACTGATGGGAGACTATACCAACCTGATAATGGAAGATCACATGGAAAAGACAATGGACAAAACATGGAAGCTGGGCTTATGTAGCGGATTATGTGCTGTTGGAGGATTCTCGTCTCAGGTTTGCCCTGCATGTTGCCAGGAACTTCATCCGTTGAGATCTCTTTTCTTTTGCCAGAACTCAGATATAATAAGCCTCAATCCCCAAGTCCATCCCAAGAACAGTAGAATCTAAACCCTAAACCCTAAACCCTAAACCTACTACCCCAACTGTTCAGGGAAAGCTGCGTCTTGAGAGAAAAGGCCATAGGGACGCCCGGTGAGCCCACTCATGAAGAGCTGGTAGCGAGGCCCTGGCCCATGTATATGGGGGAGTGCAAACAAAATGGAAGCGACTAAGTCGAGTTAAGGGAATTCCCCCAGTAAGGGAGATTCAGGTGGAAAAGGACATGAAGCCAAAAAAACAAACTGAGACCATCTGGCGGTTTCTAGCGACTAAGGTTTCCCCAGCTTAGATGTACCTTGTCGCGGGTCCCTTCTGGCGGATTACAGCTTTTTGGGGGTCTATACTGCGTCCCCCTATTGTTTATGAGATGGCTGGTTTCAGGAGCCACATATGATCACATAATCCCTTTCCTTGTCGTTTAGCCGCCACCGCACCCCAAATATGCATGATGAGTTTGGCTGTCTGCTGCTTGGAACCCAAAAGTCCGTTCATTCTTTGCGCCTTTGTCTCACAATCCCACACCCCAAGATGTGAATGTTTAAACGGAAGTCGCCCAAAACACGCCGGCTTAGTGCTTAGAACGAAGTCCCAAAATGAGGATCCTTCATAATTGTAGAGTCCTGAGGCTCTATAGGACTCCAACGCCTTCTTTGGACCCCACCTCCGCTCGCCGAACCCGATACCCTCTGTGCTGGCAGACTCCCCTCCACACCCAAAACAAACCCCAATATCATGTGCAGAATGGAGACCCATGATTCATAAACCCCCTCCTATTAAGGGCCTTAATATTAGGATCCCTATTGCAATCCCTATTAAGGGGAGGGGGTTTATTAATCACGGGTCTGGGTTAGGTAGGCTTCGTAAATCATCTACCAGAAAACAGGTCCATGCATGTGGGTTCCTGGTCTAGTGCGGGTTCCTATGTTGCTTTCCCAGGTTGGGGGGTTGGGGGAGCAGTATGTTGGGCAAACGTCTGCAAAGGGCTCGCTTTATAGGGGATTATGGATAGGAAATCTATGAGGGGCATATGAAAGGGTTGAGGGTGTAGTTGGCCAAATAATTGCAGTAGTAGATCATCAAACGGAAAGGTGGAGATGAAACGCAACTGGCTTGTTGTACGTGTTTGTATAGAGATTGTAATGTAGGGGCCTGTAAGTAGTCAATTAGAATGGGGTTGAGGGTATATTATGGGATAGCCATCCATAAAGAACATATATACATATACACACATATATACATATATGTACATATCTGACTCCATTGATGCCTCTTCAGGCTTCTGCATCCTTTTTCTGACAGATGTTAAGGTTTCGGGTTGCCAAGCGCTAGCGGAAAAAAACTCTAGATGAGCAAGAACCATGTTCCAGCCAGGGACCCTGAAAGGCATACGCTAAACCCTAAACCCTAAACCCTAAACCGTCTTAATAGGAGGCACTTCCAAAGCCACGATGCAATGTCAATGTGAGCTATAGTCTAAACTCCCAGTATCCCATCCCCATTTAAAAGCCCCTATAGTAGTCCCCTATATAAAAACCCTCCTTTAAGGAGTTTAGACTGTAGCTCATGCAGTTCGGAGGTAAAGTCTCACACGAAGGTTGCAAGCATTGAGCGATCAGAAGTTTGGTGTTGCCCTTAAAAAATTGTGTACATGCAACTTACTAGGGCTTGTGCTAAACAAATGACTGCTACAAGGAAACCAAAGCTCGCCCTTCATCACCCTCCTTAAGGCCTGGTATGCGTCATGGACTCAGCCTCTTGTTAGCTCAAACGGAGCCAGAAAGGCGGGGGTTTCCTAAAGTTGGGAGTCCCTTAGGGATAGGGGTTATACAAGGGGTATAGGGCTTCCTAAAGTTGGGGGTCCCTTGGAGATAGGGGTTATGTAAGGGGTATAGGGATATATACAGTTTATTTATGGCTTAGGGTTTCCCAAACCTTTTGTCCTCAGGGATCCTCCACAGTTAGGCAGTCAGCAAAGCCTCTCACAGCCCTTTTGGGACAGTGGACCTTGGCTGCCGCCGACTGGAGATGACACCAATCCACTCCCCCTACCTGTAACCCCAATGATCAATGTCTTAAAGCCTACGGGCTTAGTATATAGTAGCTACCCCCCCCCCCCCGCGCCCCACGAGTAGGTATAATCCAGAAAGTTGCAGGTAATTGGGATCACAGGTAGCACTGAACGCCCTCAGTGTTGATTGAACTTCTTCTGGTTGTCTAAGATTGCACGAAGCATGTAGTCTTCAGAGCCGGTGTCGGTTAAGGGTAGCGCAAAAGAGTCGAGCCAGCGTGGCCACTCAAAACTGCATCTTCAGCAGAGCTCCGCTGCAACGATTTCAAAATCAGATGCTCCGCAGCTGGTTTGCCAGTGTCCAGAGGTATACATGCTGCCATTCGTTGATGGAATCTCCCCCAAAGGCCGCTGGTACAGCACCTTGTGCTGCTTCAGCTTCTGCGCAAGCAGTGGCAACTCCTCAACAATCCTGCCGCTGGTGAAGAGCTGCAAGTGCCCACCCTCAGACGCCGGCTGGAAGCAGGTGAAGAGGTTGCATGTGTTGCTGCTGCTGCTGTTGC